TGTGAATTATATCTAAATAAAACTTTTGTTTTTTTAACTTGCCTAGAGAAGTCATAGTCAGGTTACTGAGATAGGCCTTGAATCAACAGTGGAGTCTGCACTATGTTAAAGGAAGAGCATGGCACAATGGCAGGGCAGGGCAGGGGAGGAAAAATGGTGAGATGGTCGGCATGGCTGGAACATAAGGTGAGGCACTTAGCATCAAGTCTGCAGCACCCTTCTACAGGTGCTACTGTACACTACGATGGTTAACCAGTGTTCTGTTATTAAGTTTAAATAACCAATTGAAACAAATGGTTTTAAGACTATTTTTCTACCGCTACAGTAGAGGTAATGTATATAGAATGCTCACTTGGCATTTGGAGATTTCTGGGAAGATTTCATAGCTTTCGCCAGCCTTCAGAGCACTGGTGGCAAACCTATGGCACGCATGCCGCAGTGGGCTGTCTGTATCATTGAAAGCTCTAAAAGGCTCACTATCACTGCTCTAGAGTCTTCTGCACAACTGCCCTGACAATGCATTCCGCAGCCTATCAGTGAAATACTTTCCTGAGAATAGCCCAAAAGCACACCAGGTTTATTTGGAATCAGCACCAGTAGACTGCTAGAGTTTAAGGCCAGAATCTTACCAAAATAACTTCCTATGTTCTGTTTTAGCTGAGCAATCTTGCAAGTAAGGTGAGCAGTGTAATAATTTACGAAGAGACTTATATGAAATGCTAGAGAACAGAGGGTTTATCTTACAAACCACAGGTTTTTTGAAGTGTGGTATATACGTGATTGTATGGTATATGAAATAAGCATTTAGTATTTCTACATTTCTTTTTACTGTTACCTTTTGTTTACTGATTTTCTAGTTATGGTAATCAATATTAACTCTCATTCATAATACAAATTTTCCTTTAAAGAAAAGTCATAAAATTTTTGAGAAAATAACATAGGAAGAAATGGCAAAAATCCTAAACATGGTATATAAATGCCTTAAGCATAAAAATTTAACAGGAGTACAGAAAGAGGTTTTATCTGGAAGTGACATGTTCATATTATAGCGAAATCATTCTAATAGAAATGTGGAAGATGGAGGGGTTAAGGCAACAGCCTCGGCCAGAGGTCAGCAAACTATAGCCCACTGACGATATCCTGTAAGCTAAAAATGGTTCTTACACTGACTATCTGGTCCTTCACAAAAAAGTTTGCCAACTCCAGCTTGGAAAATGAATGACTCTCTCACCTGAGCCTGCTGTATGAGGGTAAAGTATTAAAAAATCCCTTAAGCAGAATCAACAAGACTTAATGACTCATCAGATGTATGTAGTAAGAGCAAGGAAAAGTGAAGGATGACGCTAATGCTTCTATTTAAAACTTAAGGCAGATGAGGATATCAAGAGAAGAAAACAGGAGGACAGCATCTTCTTCAAAGTTAAGCCATTTCTGATTATGAAAAATAAGTGACAACCTAAAATCAGACAAGTGACTTACAGTATTACACCATTAGAAAACAAACTTGCTCAAAGATGGGCACTTGCCTTAGAACATGTGTTTTGTAACTAAGGGATGTTCCTTTTCCTGTATGAGATTTCTAAAATGAAGAAGCTGATATTTTATTGTAGAAGAAAATGATACTTTCTGTACAGGTTATCAGGTTTAAGTTTGACATAACAACAGCCTGTCTTTCTGTATATTTTTGCATATACCATCTCAGGAAGCTTCCAAATCATCTCTTAAAAAGTAATTGTCCAGGGGCTGGGGATTTAGCTCAGTGGTTACGCCACCTGCCTTGCAAGCTCAAGGACCCGAGTTCAATCCCTGGTACCAAAAAAAAGGTAATTGTCCACAAGCAGGGCATGGTATCACCTGCCTATAATCCCAGCACTTAGGAGGCTGAGGCAGGAGAACTGCCCTGAGTTTGAGGCCAGCCTGGGCTACATAGTGAGTTCAAGGTCAGCCTGAACTACATAGTGAGACTGTCTCAAAAAAACAAAAAAACCCCCAAAACGATCATTCAGATGATTCTGTTAATTAGATTATTTTTCTCCATTTTCTTAGTTTTAGAATAATCATATGTAAAGGCAGATAAACAGCTCTCTAGAAACATGTCTAAACAGGTCATTTGAAGGAAATTTAAATATATAAAGATACTGTTCTTATAATTGCTTACTATTCTCCAAACCTCAGTTCTAAATACAAGAAATTTAGATTTACCAGATTTTTATAACAAACCATGGCTTCCATTTACCATATGTTAAGGATTTTAATAAATGCCACAGAAATATTACAATTAACACAATAAATCTACAAATGTGGTATGGCTATAAACTCTTATTTGAAACTCTTAGGGAAAGATATTTCTGAATTCAGAATTGTTCAGCTTTTAGAAAGAGTTGAGATTTTAGGAAGACAATAGTGCATATTGCAATAGTGCAGACTAATTTCTGTCACAAGTAACACCAAAATATCACTGGCTAAGACAACAAAAGTTTATTTTTTACTTACGTTGTCTAGTGGTTCTACCTTTTTTGTTGTTTTGTTTTGTTTTAAAACAGGGTCTCGCTATGTAGCCCAGGCTGGCCTCAAATTCGGAGCGATCCTACTCCCTCAGCTTCCCGAGTGCTGGGATTATAGGCATGTGCCACCATGCCCAACCAACAGTACCGTCTTCTTGGCTCTTAGAGATCCCTCTGCTGAACCTTTTGTTTCTAGTAGACAGTAGGGAGTAACAGAAGAAAGCAAGAATGGATGACTGGTGCAAAGTTAATACACCAGGCCTAGAAGTGATAAACATCACTGCAACCACCAGAACTCAGTAACAAGGGACTGCTAACTACAAGGATGCTAAGTGGTATGGTGATGTGCCCAGAAGAAGAAGCACAAATATAAGTATATGCCTTTTATGTAGTGTGTAAGACCCCAAGGGAACTGAGACAGCATCTCATAATTGACATTAATATTTCTCCAGTGAAACAATGTTCACACTGAGTGCAACAAATAAACATTATAAGAATAAAGAGTGAAAAACCTCATACCAACCCAAGTATAATTTGTTCCAAATAAATTTTGGTGCCAAACTTATTTAGACACAACTTTAGTTTTTCAGAGGATTTGCAATTTCAGAATTGTAGATAATGGATTATGAATGTGGATTTGATCCACAAAAATAGTAGCCAGGAAGTAGAGATGGGATTTTAGATGCAGGCTTATGACTTCCAGATTTATGTTTATGATGCAAGGAAAAGTGCTAATGACCAAATGTCTCTTATGTTAGGCATCATTAATGGTATCGGCCCTTAGACAAGAAGAAATTGGAGGATTTTCAATGAATTTCAATTTATTATGTCCTATGCTTTAGAAACACTATGCTAGAAGACAGAAGGAATACAAAGAATAAGAGGTGGTGCCTCATGACCAGAATGCCAGAATATGATGAAAAAAAGATTTAAGAAAGCCCTAAAATGACTGATTCTGAAATGTAGAATTAGGGAAGGCTTACCTAAAAGATGCTAACATCAGAGTGAGACTTCCATGGTAGGACAGAATTTTGAACAAGGAAAGAAAGTGCTTTGGGTAGAAGAAAAGGGCTGCATGAAGATACAATGGGATATCTTTAAAGGCCTGGGCAATGGCAAGTGATTTTTGTTTGGTAGCATCTGAGTGCTGGAAACTTGAGAATTTTAAATTTTACTTAATCAACATCAAAAAGACCTAGGGAGCTTCAGATCAGTAAGAAAGAGAAGATAATGAAAAATACACAGTTAGAGAGCCATTTGGCTAGTGATGATGTAACTAAGAGATGAAGAGAAGAATACATCTGGACCCAAGAATAGTAATAAGAAAATACTTACTTTTAAATAAGGTGAGAGTTATTGGAGGCACAATAAAGAGTTGTATAAGTCTAGTACTTGAAAGGTCAGGATCAGAAAATCAAAATAAATCATAGCTCCAGGCCAAAATATTACTATTAATATCAACTATATCACCCCTAAGAGGAAGAAAGTAAATAAAGCATAGTACCAAACTCTCGTGCTTACTCTCATTTAGAATATTTCTTCTGGGTTGCCAAGAGGCTTCTTTGTTTATTTCTTAGGTCTGACCACACTAATCTCCACCTAAGTGAGGTTATTATATGTGTTATATAAATTAAGATTCAGCACATTTATTTTATTCATTTGTTCAGAAAAAAAGAATCTTCATAGCCAAGTAAAACAACTGAGGAACATGTACTGACTTGTGCTTTTGCCATTTATGTAGCAATTTCCTTGTATGCTAACACCATTGTTCACAGCTCTGCAACACTTAGAAAGTGCTGGCCAGTGTTTTGAAAACAGCTTAACTTCCTTGTATACTGGGTATCAAGGAAAGGAACTGAACAAAAAACAAAATTCTTTTAAATAATTAACTTAATATCTTCAAGGTAAGTGGTTTATTAAAAAACAAAATAATACCAAGACATAAATCTTTAGAAACTCAGCATGAAACTATCACTTTCATATATAGTTCTTAAATTTCATATAGATACAGTTTCTTTTCTTAAACACTACTTTATTTACCAAAAAGTAAACTACTAGAATGTAATATTCTTAAATTATTTTTAAAACTTCAAAATATCCATGGCTAGAAACTACCCTATAAACAAAACACAGGTGCTTTTCAGGGGAAAAGAAAGAGGCACCTATTTTTAACATATTTACTTGATTCTCAGTCATGATAATCACATCTGAAAGAAAGTTTATTTATCCAAGCAGAGTTAACCCAGTGAAAAAATTCATTAATATATAATGTATAGATAAGAGGAATACCAAAATGTTACTTGCTGGATTTTTAAAATAAGTGAGTAGATTTTAGAAAGACTATTTGAATTCCTTAATCTCTGCCAAAGTCCAGTTTACAGTTTACACCAGTTGTCTGGAAAACATTCAGTTGGTTAACTCCAAAGAACAAATGGCAGGTCAAGTTTAAAACACGTGACTGCCTCCTAATTATATTTAAATAGCATGTAGTGAATGAGAAATCAGATTTCTGGTCAGAATCTGATTTTCTACAACACTAGAGAAAGGCTGAATTCTCAATCTTCAAAATCAAAAGGTAATAATAATGTGAAATTTTCTCAATTATGTAATGGAGCCAAATGTAACTTCTAGTATACACTAGATTTCTAAATTTAAAGTTTGAGCTTTTAAATTAAAAAGATTATAATATTTAATCATGTCAAGCATGTACTAGTTGAATTATCTCAGATGTGGCAAGCCATTAGACCTGAATACAGGCAAAAAGAAAATTAGGCTTATTTTAAAAATAATTTACTATATTAATAAACTGTCTTTGCAGTCCACATCTAGAAAAGAACACCAGACTAAACTCAGATTCAAGATCTAGTTCTGGTCATTTTTGGATATGCACTGTCATGGAAAGCATAGACCCTGGTGTGTGGTCGGTTATATAATGAAAGGACTAATTCTGATCAATTTTAAATTTCTATTTTAAAGCTATGAGATTCTCTAAAAGCTGTTTTAAAGAGGGAAAATGAGGAAACCCTAGCATTAAAGCAATCATTTAACCTATTTTAATCTTTGGTATAAACATTTAGAGTATCTTAATTTGTGATCTACACTTAACTCTTAAATTGTTGGAATAAAAGTCATGAGAAAGTTAAAGAAAGCCAGTATTTGTTTCATTACTTATTTTGTTACTCTACTCTCCAGAACTGTCTATCATCATTTGCCCCTACCCTATTTTGTGTATTGATCTTAAGCCCCTATACTTATTGTATAGACATTAATTTTTTCCTTTTATTAAAGTAGAAAAATCAAATTAAGCTCTGTTTTAGTCTTTCAATTGATAATGCCTTAAGTTGGTGACCCTAGATAGAAAAATCTTACATTTAGCAGATACTGAGAAGATTTTTATTTGCTCACTAATAACAATGAAAAGACACATTTACATAACATGAAGGTCCTAAACATAATCAAGGGTATATGCTTGCCTTTTTGTGACCCAAATGTAAGATTAAATTTACATAATTGTTTTAACACAGAGGAAAATGATGTTCAAGCTATCATTCATCATCAGTCTGCTCCTCGTGTTTGTTCACATTTTGGGAACAATTTCAACATCAACAACCTCAAGGTCTGAGGAAGTCTTCAGTACCAGCATGAATCTGAATTCCAGGACGAGCCTAAATCCCGGGACCAAGGCAAGTTCTACCTTCAAATCTGACAGGCCAAGACTCACAACAGCAGTGAATGCCAGGATGACTCTGACTTCCACGATGACCTCAAGTTACAAGACACCTCTGAAATCAACAGTGACCTCAGTGACAGCCAGAAATATGACTACAAAGACTGTGACAAATGGGAGCATAATACTCAATCCAAAGCTTAACATTCACTTTCTTTTCTATGTAATATTTTTGCTGTTTTTTGTGTACTCAGGCTGAAATAAACTTGAATTGGCTGCATTTTTATCTCAGTTCTATTATCTGCTGAACAACAAGCACATTAGGAGAGTAAATAATTTCAACTTTCTACTTGAATTACCAGTATCCTAGTATAATTTGGTTGTTTGCAAATTTTAGGCAAGTTTAAATATTACCTTAAAATGGTAGCTTCCTTCCTTAAAAGAGAAAAAGTGTGCACTACCCTATTAAATGCCAAAATAAGCAAAATACCACATTTGCCTTTTTAGTGTTTGTAACCCTGAAACTCAAATGTTTATATTAAAACCATAAGAGAAAAAAATTACACAGGGTAAAGGAGGGGGATAAGCAATGGTGTGGGGGAAGTTTTTTTTTAAAATTTATAGCACAAAAAGTGCTAATTTGGTAAAGAGAAATGGTAGAACTTTACAAAACAATACACTCATCTGTATTACCGTATTTCATGAATGTGTTATATGACATTCCACTAAAAAAGTTGCCAATCTGTTAAACTTTCTAATGCATAATGTTTTTACTCCAATGATAAGATTATTTTACTTTAGTAAACCCTGTCTTGCATTCCATAGGATCATTTGAAAATCAGATCCTTGGAATTCAGAACTCATTTTCCCCACAGAAACATGTCTCATAAACTACTGGTACGATTTTCATGCTTATCTACAAAGGATGATTTAACCCAAAGAATTTAGTACCTAAGAGACTATGTTATGAATAGTTCAGTCATTAGAGGCTCTGGCTTAGGTTTGGATCCAGTTCTGATTCTTTGTTTTGTTTTTTGAGACAGGCTCTTATTATGTAGTTCAGGCTGGCCTCCAACTATGTAGATCAGGCTGGCCTTGAACTCAACAGTAATCTTTCTACCTCAGCCTTCCAAGTGTGACACCAGTTCTGATTTTTACTAGCTATGCTATAAGGGGTTAAATATATGACTCTGAGGGATTCCCAAACAAACTTCAATAATAAACTGACTACAAATGAATCATCTGAGGTGCCTGTTGAATTCTTGAACCTGAGACCTTGATTTGGCAGGCTGGTGGGAGCTGGGATTTATTTAATTCTCCAGCTCACTCTGATAGCTATGCTTGGGTTTCAGTTTATGCATGTCAGTTACTGTTAATGATACTACCTGAGAAGGTTACTGTGAGGATTACATGAGAACTTATGTAATATGCACAGTTTGTCTGACATAGAGAAAAGCACCCAGGAAATGAAATGTCAGCTATTATAATTATTAATACTACAAAAAATTAATTGTTGAATACCATAACACTCCGAAGAGGAAAACTCTTCATTGTAACCTTCAGATTTAGACTTTTTTTTTCTGGTACCGGGGACTGAACTCAGGACCTTGAGCTTGCAAAGCAGGTGTGGTGCCACTGAGCAAAATTCACAGCTGGATTCTGAATTTTTAATTATTCTTACAAAAATAATGTATGCTGCTGGCAACAATTAAACAACATAAGGGATGTTGGGAAATGGGAAGGGGAACAAGGGAGGAAGGAAGAAGAAAGGAAGGAAAGGACAAGAAAAAAGGAAAAAATAGAAGGAAAAAATGGAAACAAAGCTTTTGTCCACAGGGAAGGGAGGGGGCTTGTGGGAGGAATGGGATAAAATACAATAAAATTTATTTAAAAATAATAAAATCCTCAAAAAACACACCAACAACATAGAGGCATGTAACAGAAATATAATTGGTTGGTTACCTCCTTCTAGCGTATACTCACTCCCCTGAAATAAGCAATGTGAGCAATTTTTATTTTTTATTTAAAAAAAATTTTTTTTTGCAGTAATGAGGACTGATCCCAAGACCCTATACTCTCTAAGCAAGAACTCGACCACTAGCTACATTCCCAGCCCTTTCTGGGTCTTTTAAAAGCTGCATATAGAGGGCTGGGGATTTAGCTCAGTGGCACTGTGCCTGCCTCACAAGAGCAAGGTCCTGAATTCAATCCCTGGTACTGGGTGGGTGGATGGGGGAGTTGAATGTAGAGAACTTCTGCTATTCCTACCTTCCCAGCATTCATTTTTCCTCATTTTTGTACTGCCAACCCAATTCTCCTTTAGGAAACCCTGCCCTCATACTTGCCTTTCAGTTCATGCAATTCAAGTATGGCTGGTTTCACCACTGAGTTTTGGGGTAGGCATACAATCCAGGCCTAGATATCCAAGAAATGCTACTTGCACCCCTCCCCATGCTATAGTGGTTGCCTCAGAAACTGACATGTGACTCAGCTAGGCCAGCAAGACCTCTCACTTCTTCTGAGACGTATTTTTTTTTAGGAGTTGTTAAGGTAGGAGAACACAAACTGTTGGCTACAGCCTAGGGACATTGAGAATAAAGCCACATGAAGGAAGGAGAGCCAAGAACCAGAGAAGACACGCTCTCCAGATAATACTGTTCAATGCAATTGCATCTATCATCCGGGCTGGGGATTTAGCTCAGTGGTTATGCCGCCTGTCTTGCAACCGCAAGGACCTGAGTTCGAGCCCCGGTACCAAAAAAAAAAAAGAAGCAATTGCATCTATCATGCAATAAGGTAGCAGATCTCTTGATCATCTTAGGTACACGTACCAATAAAGTCTCTTTCTGTTTTATACACATTTACATTTCGTTCTGTCACTTGTAACAAGGAAAATAAATTTAACACACTGCATTATTCCATAATGTAGATTTATCAATTATTCACTAACTGCCCTTTTAAAAATTATATTTTTCCCCCCCGCTATAAACAATACTACCACAATTGTCCTTTACCACTACAGGGCAATAGTATATAAGCATATGGCAGAGAATAGTTTAGAAAAGTAAATTAGGCCAATTATGAAGCATCATACATATGTAACTATAGAACTTGGACTTTATATGGGAAAATCAACAGGAAAGACAAGATTAGAATAGTACTGGAAAATACTGATGACCCAGAAGTAGTCATCTGGGAATTAGGGAGACAAGGAGAATGCAATAGTATAAGTAAGAGATACTGAGAAATGCAGCAAAGTAGTGGGGAAAAAATGGTTTTCAGAAGATATTTCCACACATTGTTGGTGGGAGTGTAAACTGGTACAACCACTGTGGAAATCAATATGGAGATTCCTAAAAAATTACAACTAGAAATTCCATTTTACCCAGGTATTCTCTTTCTAGGTACCTTCTCAAAAGAGTTAAAGACATACAGTAGATATAGTATATACCTATGGAGACCCCACTGATTTAATCTCAGTAAGGGGTCTGCATCAGGCCCATCCTGCTTTCTTTTTGCCTTTGCTAGACCAGCACAGTGAAGGAACACAAACTTACAGTTTTTGATTCTGAAGAAAAAAACCCACCTTTTATATTTTCTAGAAATCTTTGCTACCTGTAAACTACCAAGAATCCAAATGAGATTGGGAGTTGGGGTATACATCCCCCTCCTTCCCTCACCACGTTTGTATTTAAATTACTTAGACAAAATAAAGTCAAAATAACCTTGTGTATTAAAGGTTAAATATGGAATACAAACATGGTTCATCTCAACTGCAAAAGAAACTTAAAATTATTTTAGGCAATTTAGAAATAGTAACTAAAATGAGAGATGCCAAGAGGATTTTCATGGAAAGGTGAGATGTTACTCAGAGTCACTGAGGGGCAATTTTCTGTAACTTTTTGATTCCCTAATCCCTCAGTTCTTCAGACATCTTGAGTCTTGCTACTTGAATTATCTAATTAAACAAACTTCCCACCTTCCACCTTTCTTTCTTCACCCTGTCTCGCTATTTCTCTACTTCATTTCTTACCTATTGCCCAAGCTTTTCATCACTTTTTGTTTTTGGTACCAGGGATTGAACTCCAGACCTTGTGCTTGTGAGGCGGGCAGCAGAACCACTGAGCTAAATCCCTGACCCCTATTGCCAAGCTTTTACCACCTATGACTAAGTCTACTAACATAACACCTCAATTTCTGTTAAATTCAGGAAACTCAGAAAGATCAAGTCCTATAGCGCATGAATAGCATGACTAAGGTTAAACACAGTCCTTAAGTTTCTCAAGTCTGTGGTCTCTGTGTTAAATCACACTGCCTCAAAGGTTCAATTGCCATGAATTTATGGCGGCCTAAATGGGAAGAAGTAAAACTGATCAAATAATGCCAACATAAATTATCAAAAGGCAGGCAGAATGAGGAAGGAACAAAAGACAGATGGTAGGAAAAGCAAGGCAAGCATTATAACTACCATGAGGAGGTTCTCATAGCATTTCCAGAAGGCTTTCTACTAGGAAGTAGCCCTGACTGAGACAATATGAACAAACACAGTCTATTTTCCATACTGTCCCTTATGCCATCTTTACTGAGAACCACAGCTCCTCTGAATTATTTTCTAATTCACCCTGATGCAGCTTTACACAGCATATGACTAAAGGTTCTTAGGAATGGGCTAAGTTTTATTTCTTCTTCTTTAAAAAAATTTCCTAATTATCATGTTGTAGATATTATTAAATCACAATATATCTGAAAACAAAGGATTCTTTGTGATTTTTTTCAGTTTTGAAAACAGGGCTGGGTGTGGTGATACATGCCTATAATCTCAGCCTTCAGGAGGCTGAGGCAGGAAGATTGTCCCAAGTTTGAGGCTAGCCTGAACTACATAGTGGGATGCTATCTCAAAAAAATAAAACAAAACAAAAAATTAAAACAGGGTCTTGATGTCCAGGCTGGCCTCAAAATTGCAATCCTCTCGCCTCAGTCTCCTACGTAGCTGGGATTACAAAAATATGCCAGCACACCTAGCAATTTTTCACTCTTGGTAATTAATCCATTGTAGACAGTACTGAAAAAAATTGATGTAGGAAAGACAAGTCAATATGAAATCCAATGTCCTGAAATGCAATCTGAAAAGCAGTTCTTAATACACGGAACAACACTTTAAGATAGGATGCCTGTATACCATCCAGCTGTATATTCAGCAAACTTGCTTTCAACTCCTATTACTTGGAAAAAAAAATCAAATCTGCCATCTTCCTACATTTGCTGTCATTTAAAAATTCT